CGAGGGTAATTTGGGCCTTCGAGGGTATTTTCGAGGGTAATTAATTTTCGAGGGTAAAAAAGGGTATTTTGAACAACCCGAGTGCAACACATATTAATACAGTAATAATAATTAATTTATGTTCATAATTTGTCATTACTCTATGGAATGTGTTGCACATTCGTCTGATACATGATTTATATAGTGTTTGTACGATCTATTAGTAAATTGATTATACTCGTTCTGTACCCAAGGGCATCTATGCTTCCACTTACACAGAAAGCCTTGGAACTTAGAACAGTTCCTGGGATACCAGCTATTTGTTTAATAGCTTCAATCTATATCTTTCTTTTCTTAAACCAGGTTAGATAGTTTTCAACAGTTAAAGTTGCGAACTATGCATTGTGAATGTGAAGGTGTTCCGGTGTTTGTTTTGTTTGTTTAATTGACCTGAGCTGCTTGAATGAAAGTCAATATTATGATTTATGAAAATGAAATTGCTACGAACATTGAGTATTCTGAAGCTGAAGTGATTTGTTAAATAAGTATTGACAAATTGTTGTGTGTTCTGTGTGCATGAATTATTTATGAAATGAAGTTTTAACTGTTCACTAAATCTATTTTTTCGGATTCCTCAAGAAAAAAGAGTGATTGTTAATAAAGGCCTAGGTTAGGTTGAGCTATGTGTGAAATTGTAGAGTTTCACAGTCAAGCTGTGAGAAGTTAATACACATCAGAAGTAACAGTTATCTCGTAAAGTGCTACAAGCGCATGCACATAAGCTGAGGTGCCCGTGGGATGCAGAACGTCGAGTGTAAATTAATTATTCCATTAGGTTTCTGTAATTTGTTTATATTTTCAACACTTAATACCTGCATTTACCCTTGATTTGAATAAATTGTTTGAATATTTGATTTTCCAATACAAAATCAATAATTTGTATTCGAAACAGGGCCTATAATGTAAAAGTTTCTAGTTTTGCGACGTTGGTGGTTTTCGAGGGTATTCGAGGGTAATTTTGGGCAGGACTGAGGGTAATTTGCCAAAAATGGATTGGCAACACTGTGAAGAAGACTGGCCCGTGGGAGTGGACTGCTGTATTTATACCCGATTTGGTTGCTATGGAGACCATGGAATGTTCTAGAACTTTAAACCCAGATGTTTCCGGATGTTTCCACCAAAAGTTATCTTCCTTTTCCGGCAGCCTGACGTCATCGCTGCCCGCTTGATCGTCGTTGATCCATCTCCATCAGCTGCTGTCGGCTGGAGCTGGAGCTCGAGCTGTCCCTCAGAGAAGCTATTGTAGACTAATAAACAAACATTCAAACAAATGTAATAAATAAATATGTTTTAATTATTTAGTTAGTTGTTATATTTACATGTTTATCCCTTTGTGTGTGAAATAAAATAGTAATGTACATTTATAACTGTTATTGTGTTGCTGAAATATTTACAATGGATAACCTAACCTAAATACGGTAAGTGGGTAAGCTAAGCTAGGTACGGTAAGTGGGTAGAAATATTTTTGGTTACGAGTATTTACAAAATAAACTATTAGAAACATTATTAATTTAAAGAACACTAAGAAATATTTAAACTATGAAAAATGCGAGATAGGCCTACTTTTATTACAATTGATCTAACAAAAACCTAACCTAGCCTAGGCATAACATAGCCTACAATGGTTAAATTAAATTGAAACATTACAAGATGTTATAAATAAAACATATGGACTTATTTCTTGATACATAACACTCCTCCCCCCGTTAGGTAGTCCTTCAGATATGCCGGTGGTCGACGGATACGAACAGGTCGAAGTGTTTTGGGAGTTTGATCTAAAGACACGTGTCCGAACAGGTTGTGGACTCGTGCTCATGCTATTGGAGTCTTGAATTAAACCAGAAACGTTGAAACCAGCATCTTCTTGATGAGGGTTAATTGGACCTTCTATACCACTAAAGGAATTGCGAGATTGTTGCATCGCTAAATGGTCACATTGGTTGTACGTCTGGTGTTCTCATCATAATAGGATTGCGAACCATTGATGGTGGTTGCACTGGAGTGATATGATGTGCTTCTGGTATTCTCATTTGAAAAGGATTCTGGAATAGTGGGTGGAACGGTGGGTTTATTGGAGATTCAGGATTATCCAAGTGTGAGTTAGGAGATGCTTTTGATGTTTCTGAGCGAGGTCTCAATTGGTGGATATGATGTTGTATTTCAATGCCTTCTTTTGTTATCAAATGGTAGCTCAGCCATTTGTTATTATTGGCCCGGTTATTCTAGTGACTTTAGCAGGAATCCACTTTGGTCCTCGCTGATTATAGTTTCTTGCAAATACGGAGTCATTTTCTTTAAATTTCCTCTGAGGTGACTGTTGGTAATCGTGAAGCGCTTTATCCATGATTTTCTCTTCTTTGTCACTTGAAGAATAATCTGGGTGAACTCTGTCTAAGATGGTTCTAATACGCCTTCCGAACAGCAGTTCACTCGGTGACATATTAGTAGAACAATTTTTTGTTATATGAGATGATATTAGGAACTTAGCCAATCTTTTTTGCCAATCTCCTTGAAGTATTCGTCGCAAAGAATTTTTTGTCGTTTGGACCATCCTTTCTGCCTGACCATTCGATGACGGATGGTATAGTGCAACCACGACGTGGCGGATGCCATTGCTTTCATTAAACGATCGCAATTCTTGTGAAGTGAAAGCCGACCCGTTATCAGATAGGTACTATTGTGTCTGGAACACCATGTGTTGCAAAAAGGCTTCTGAGGACCTTTATAGTTGATCTTGAATCTGTAGAAGGCACCAAAACTACCTACTTCTAACCATTTGCTGAAAGAATCCACAACAATCAAAAACAACTTGTTTTGGAAGGGCCCAGCAAAATCTATGTGGAGACGAGACCAGGGTTGTTTAGTTTTCTCCCAGGGAAGAACTGTTGCTCTTGGAGGGTTGTGACGACTTTGTTGACATGCTTGACAAGAATTCACCATGTTTTCTATGTCTTGATCAAGTGTTGGCCACCAGAAATAGCTTCGAGCCAACGCCTTGTTCGAACAATGCCCTCATGTCCCATGTGTAGAAGCTTCAGAGCTTGTTGCCTGAGAGTGGATGGAATGATCACCCTAGTTCCCCAAAGTAAACATTTTTTGTATTGAGAAATTGAATTTTGACGAGAAATGAAAGGCGTAAGGTTGAGATCTGAGTTATGAGTGGGCCAACCACGTTGAGTCCATAATAGTACTTAAGATAGAAGTGGATCCTTTTCTGTTTCTTTTGCTATTATATTAGCGGTAATTGGTTTAACCTCATCAGATTCAATGTATAGCACATCATTCAAGACTTCATTTATCTCTTGATCAACAACATTGGAGGAACATGGAAGACGACTCAAACCATCAGCATTCGGAATAGAAATCCCCGGTTTGTATACTAAATCAAAGTCATATCCATTTAAAAGGATACTCCAGCGAATCATTTGAGGTGACAGTGTGTTTGGTGTTTGTTTATCCACAGTGAAAAGACCCAGAAGTGGCTTATGATCTGTTCTAATTTCAAAATGCCTCCCATATAAGTAATTGTGGAATTTTTTAACCCCTCCAATGATGGAAAGTGCTTCCCTATCTACTTGAGCATATATTCGTTCTGACTGACTCATTGTCCTGGAATAAAACGCAACTGGAACTTCCTTTTCCCCTCGAACCTGACTTAGCACACAACCAATACCATAAGGAGATGCATCACAAGTTAGTATAAGATGGCTAGAGGGATTGTAGGCTAATGAGCCAGTATACTATCGGAAGAAAGGAGTTTCTTTGAAGCATTGAAAGCAAGTTTATGTTTTCCCTCCCACCGCCATTTACCATTTTTGTCCAATAAGTGATGTAAAGGTTCTGCAACATTGGCTTTGTTGGGTAAGAAACAGTGATAGAAATTGAGTAAACCTAAAAATGCCTGCAGTTGTTCCTTGTTAGTCGGCTCAGCAGCATCTTGAATGGATTTGACTTTGTCCGGGTTAGGAAGAATTCCGTCAGAGCTCACAACAAATCCCAAGAAGTCAACTGATGTAGATAACAAAGAACACTTTTCGCTTTGGAGTGTAATCCCTGCATCTCTAAAACGAGTGAGTACTTGTCTTAATGTGGTAATCAATTCAATGTATTGTTCAGACTGCTTTAACCAAAATATCATCAAAGTAAGGGATTACATTGTACAAGCCCGAAAGCAAACCCTCAATAAAATGTTGAAATATAGATGGAGCTGAGCTAATACCGAATTGTAGTCTTTTTCGTTTAAAAGCACCCTTGTGTGTAATTAGTGTCTGAGCTAGTGTCGACTTCTCGTCAACAACCAGTTGTTGATAAGCTTGGGCTAAATCTAACTTAGCAAAATATTTCCCTTGGTTTAATTTGGCTAAGAGCTGAGAGATTGGTGGAATAGGGTACAGATGATCTTGGATAGCTTTTTTTAACGTTGCCTTATAATCACCGCAAATTCGTATTTTACCATTGCTTTTTAGGGAAATGTACAATACGTCGACATCGTACTGTACATCTAGAGTCAGGGATGGGGTGTTGTAAGTAAATACACTGGTTACATTTTAAATAAGGCTCTGAATTTTCAGCTTCCCAGTATTTGACCATATCGGTGTAGAAAAACTCAAATTTAGAGGTTTTTGGAAACCTAGATCACGAAATAACATAGAAAATCATCTTTCTCAGATTTACTCAACCCAGAATTTGTGTTTACCATATTAATAAGGTTATTATTTTACACAAATTTTGTTTCCCATAGAGCATTATTCTAATTATTTCAATCATTCTAACCCATCCACCGTACCATAATCATCTTAAAGATATCTAACGTTTAAACATTTCTGGTATTAATATTGACAAGCAAATAAATCTGCAAAGATTGTTTTGTATTGGGACGGCTGCAGTATTACTTTCTATGGAACTCTGTGAAAATAGCTCTAATAAGGCAGATATTTATTCTAATCAAAGGGATTGTTTACCACTTGCACTCCTTTGCCATTGATAAGGTATGACGCAGGCTCCTGCCCTCTCTCCCTGTATCTGAAGAACCCTGGGAATCTTTCATCAGCTGGTGTGTGCAGCCAGTCCTCGATTATGATCACATGGGATGGTAAATCAAAGTCGTAGTATTCTCGCAGTGGATTCTCTGAATCTGGTTCTCTTATAATCAAACTTCCAAGGACTCCATCCACTTTCTGTAGACCTGAAATATTTGTAATTCATAAATGTTCGCATACCTTTTTTTATGTTCCTCCTAAGACGCTAGGTTCTAGCCTGGAACTGTTTTACACATTACTTCAGACTGACTCCTGTTAATTCAGGCTGATGAGTACTAGAGGGTTGTGGCATTATCACATAGATAATATCCATTGGTGATTGGCGGGATTTGAACTCGAGACCTTGGCCACTGAACCTTGGTCGCCCTCCCTTTTACCAAATAAAAATGTTCCTATAACTGATATACCAAAATGAAGCTTAGGATGTATTGATTTGCCGAAAATTATTGTAATGAACGATTTTCTTAAGGGCTCTGCCCCACAGGCCGATTTCAAAAGACACCTTACATGCTTTCAAAGTTTAAATTTCAACTAAATAAAACTAAACAAAAATTGTTTTGTAGAATATTTGCTTATAGTTTTCTTTGTAATTTATATGATATCATTATCAAATGTCTTTGAAAATGCTATGAATATGATGATGCTGATAGTGGTTCGGAGCTCACCTTAAGCTAGTAATTGACCACCTATAAAAAAGTCAAGAAAGGACAGGCTCTTCAGGCTGGAAAACCCTCAACTAAAAGCTAGATAATGTTTATTTGTCATTTTTACATAAACATTACAATGATGTAACTTTACTTTTCCATTTAAGACTCACCATCGTGGGAATGCCAAAAGGAAGTGCCAGCCTCATCTGCCCTGAACCTGTATCTGAATGTCTCTGCTTCATGTACGGGACACTGTGTAAGATATGGCACCTGAATGTGGACAAACATTTTACAGTATAAATTCAGTCGTGACAGTTTTAACATTTTGGATTTGGATTTTCTACACCAACTATTTTTAAAACACTCAACTAAGTGGGAAATACATTGTTATATTCTAAACTAGATTTCTATGAATTATTTCATGTTGAGTTTAAAATAAATGTATTGCATTTATTTAATTTGGTTTGTCATGTCACAATCATTTAAGGAATTAAATAAGACAGTACCGTTAACTTATGTAGGCCTACCTAATAAAAAAAATCACTTATCAAGATCTATGTTTTTAATTACTACAACAATGTAATTTGTTTTCCAAATGCACAGCACATGAACCATAGCTTTCAAAATAAGAGTACAAGGAGTTCCTTAAAATGGCTGGGTATTGTCTGCAATGAGTTGTTTAGTACAATCTAGAGTAAAATTTATAATTCGATATAACTCTCCCAAAAAAGTATGGGAAGTAGTTATGCTTGGATATAAATTAACAAAAATATTTATAATGAAATAAAAACCAATGACCCTCACAGATATAAATTTCAAATACCGTAGTAAAAACACTTAAAGATGGGACAGCATTGTTATTTATTGTTTATTTTAGGACCATTCTAAACACTGGAAGCATTAAAACCAAAAAATATAGTGATATTAACAGTTTTCATAAAATAGTATATTTCGTACCAAGGGCCGAAAATGAGGTTTGGCCGGCTCGAGATAGTTTTTAAGTTCGAGACGAAGTCGAGAACTTAAATCGATCGAGAGCTGCAAAACCATTTTGGTCCGTGGTACGAACGCTATTTTTCACCACACTATACCCTATTACCACTATTCACCACTATAATAATGCACACTGATAGTCAACACAACTACAACTTTAAGGTTATGTGAAGAAATAATTTGAGGAATCAGCAAAAATAAAAATAAATAGTTGCTAGGCAACGGTGACAATAACACAATATGGATTTTGATTGTATATTTAAAATGCATTCATGTTTTAAGTAAGTAAGCGGATTTTGCGGCCCCGGCCTGTATAAACCTGCTCGGTCCCCAAATTACGATGACAGCTGGCATGGCCAACACAACGTAACTTTCAGCCACCAATTAACATATGTAATACAGCCAAAAACATCATAGTGTGGTGAAAAATTTGTTACATATGTTATACAGTATTCCAGGGCCCTTAATAGAGTAACTTTTAATAATGACAAATGTCTAATTAAAAGTAGTAAAAGAATGTTTAGGCTGCAACAGAAAATAAATAATGTCCCAAAGTGGTCCCTTGTATAAGTTTTACACCAAATCACAATGTTTTATAATTGTTTTATAAATATCCACTGGATAAATAGTTATAAATAACAATTACAAACTGTGAATGGAATTTATAGCAGACTTAAACAGATATTTTTTATTACTCCGTCCATCCAAGGTGTGCCTTTCTGATGAAGCCCGTGCCAGTGTATTGTAGTACTGCGTCCTGGCATCTCATTCACTACGTCAACAATAATTGTGTCTCCTTTGCACACCTAATGAACAACAAAGTATGGAAATAAATTGCCAATTCTTTACTTGTTTTATAAGTAGGTTGTTGTTATTAAACTGTTAAGATGAAAACTCGAAATTAAGCTTTCATTATTTTTTGTGAAGGTTTTATTTTACTTCATTATCTTAATGATTACTTGTTGAATTGAGTATCTAGTCTAAAAATGTTTAAGATTAATCAAATAGAAATACAATATTTATGGGTTTTCCCATTTTGGGAGTGTCAATTAATTTTGTTCAAGTCAAAAACTTGATTGATTAAAAGTGTCAAATAAGAATATTTACCTGGATAGAAGGCCCAGGAAGCATTCGGTTGACACAAAGGATAGCTTTTTCAAATCCATCGCCGGAAACACATTGAGGTAGGAAACAGTCAGATGTGACATTTGGGCAGTTTCCACAAGCCCTGGAAGTAGGCTACACATTTTTATTCTTTTCACATTTTCACATTTTTATTCAAAATATGCCTGAGTGCCTACTCAGGCATATTTTGAATCAAAGAAACAATTAACTAATACTTTGTCAAAGAGGAGATACACAGTGCTTGTTAACTTTATACATTGACACAAGTGTGACAGTACTGACACCAACTTAAAATAGGCCATATCCCTTTAATAGACATAAAAATGTGATCAGGTTTTTTTATAGTTATTATTCTTGTAATTTAAAAAAAATCAACGCTTTGTTCTTTTAATGTTGTCTACACCAAAAGAATTTAGTAAGCTAGTTAAAGAAGAAAAGATCCAAATTCTCAACATCACAATACATTCCCAAAATTAGTCGCATCCTTTTTTGCTCCTAGCCTAAAGTCCTAAGCATTTGGTAATCAAAACAACCTAGTTAGAAAAAAAAAAATAATAATATTAGCTTGCCACAAACACTTGATAACAGTTCAAGGTTCTTAATACAGAAGGTCAAATTACGAGTATATGATAGTGAGTAAGTACCTGCTGAGAGTAACATAAGGTTCAATCATCCACAAGTAGTAGCAGATCCTTGGGTCATCTGGACGACACTCTCGTGTACAGAGCCATCCGTCATCAACATTCAGATCATCGTAGTTGCCATTCATGATGTCGTCTGGTTGAGGTTGAATTTCAGCCTCTGATTTCATCTTCCTCTGATTTGATCTTGTGGCTGCAAATATCATGTTAAATTCCGTTATTTATCAAGTGTTGCCAATTGTTTTACGGTACAAAAAGAATGTTTGTTTGTGTTTTACTCTATTAGAAGTCATGGGTTGGTGGTAAGTTTATTTTTGTAGGTATCAGACCTGGGACCAATTAATTTACTTTTAGCGAATTTCCTTATAAAGAAGTAGCTATTGCGGTAGGTGGTACGGTAAGACCTAGGCCCGGGACCTATTTACTTTTTCATTTTCATTTCCCCAGAGGCCAAAAACACTATCCGTCCAAAATGTTATATATGTCTGTCTGTGAACGCGAACTTAAGTAATTTTTGTCCAATTTTGATGACATTTGGTTTGAAGGTGTAAGGCAGGATAAACATGAATGAGTTCGGGAACCAGCATGATGGGAATGGGGATTTACGGGGTAAAAATTGGGTTTTCTCATATTTGACCCTAGACCACCTAAGTGATGTAAACACGCTCTTGTGTAACGTGTAACGTACAAGATTTTACCTGACCCGACAATATACAGGGGGTTACGTACAATATTTTTCATTATCCATTTCACTCACCTTCTAACAGTAACGTTCTTTTACAAACAAAAGCTAGGTTAGGATCATTCTTTAAAGCATAACAATAAAATTCAAGCGCACAGCTGATTTCTAGCGTTAAACATCGTTGGCTCCATAGAGGTAGGCCTATATTTTTTATGTTGAGCTCTCAATGTTATTTAAATGGGTTCCATTACCTCACCGAGTGAGTTTTTGAAACTTTACATCACTCGAGAAGTAAGTAAGGAAGTTGTATACATCACGCTTGGGATAAGGAAGTTTAACATGGCGGGTGAGGTAAAATAGATTAATGTGTTGTAAATTGCTAGGTTAAAATTCCCATAACAATAAAATGAAATTCCACTGAAACGTAAATAAAAGCCAAAATTAATTGTAAATAAAACGAGAGTTTCCTTTATATTGCTTTTGAAATGAAAATAAACTACACCGAGCCATGGCTTGGTCCCCAGGTAAATGTTTTAAATGTGATTAAACACATTAATTGAGGTTCCTGCCCTTAGGAGAGCGTTTATCGAAAAACTGATATTTTTTCGAGGAAGTTTCACATCAAGTTCATTCATTCAAACATGCAGTTGATAAGGTATGCACAGCTTATGGTTTTCTCAAAAGTTCAGATCCTTCTTAGCTTTATACAGGGTGTTTTTTTTTTAAACTTGCTTCTTTATTTATGTAAAAACTGCAATAGATAGAAATATGGAGTTTGTGGGAATCATCTATTGAGGTAGGAGCCACAATTGTTGTGAATTTAATGTGAAGTTCCCATTCACCACCTTTCCCTCCCCTACCCTTAACTTAAAATTTTTTAATTGGAAGGTACCCCTTTTGACATCAAATGTGTAATGTATATCAAATGTGAGGGCATGAAAAAAGAAAAAGAATGGCACAAACTAGAGATCTCTATGTCAATCCTATCAAAAATATGGCAGTTCAAAATTTGAATTTTTCGCCCCCTTTTTTTAAGAAAATCACGTTTTTTATGGCTGTAGCTCAAAAACGCCACGGTAAGAGCTAGCAAAGATTTGAAAGAATTTTCATGGTAAGTAAGTAAATTTTTTACAAAACATTCTTAAGTGTTTTCTGAAATTCACACTCCTTCAACTTCAAAAATTGAACCTACTTCTAAAATTTGAAAGATTTTTAGGATTTGTTACGTTTATTTTTACTGAACAAGCATTTTCAAAGATGTGACTAGCTGGCATGCTTGTTCAATAAAAAACCGTAAAAAATCCGAGAAATTAAAAAAATTTTAGAAGTAGGTTGATTTTTTAAGGTATGGAGGAGTGCGATTTTCAGAAAACGCTTAATAATGTTTTGTAAAAAATTTAATTACTGACCAAGAAAATTCTTTCAAATCTTTGCTAGCTCTTGACGATTTCAAGATACAGCCAAATTCAAATTTTGAACTGCCATAACTTTTGATAGGATTTATGTAGAGATATCTAGTTAGCGCCATTCTTTTTCTTTTTTCATGCCTCACATTTGATATGTCAGAAGGGAAACCCGCAGTTTAAAAATTTTAAGTTAAGGGTAGGGGGAGAAAGGGGGTGAATGGGAACTTCACATTAAATTCACAACAATTGTGGCCCCTACATCAATAGATGATTCCGGCAAACTGCATATTTCTATCTATTGCAGTTTTTACATAAATGAAGAAGCAAGTTTAAAAAAACACCCTGTATATAGATACAGTACATAATTTTGAACAAATAGTGTTTTTGGCCTTTGGGGACATCAATATGAAAAAAGTAAATCAGTCCTGGGTCTAAGTCTTTCCGTGCCCGGAGGGTAGTTAGCTACTTCTCTATAGAAAAATTTGCTAAAACAAAATACATGATTTGATTGAACATGCATTATTTATATACATTCAAGAGTCAGCTTTCAAATTGTTTTATGTTCATTAAATAGACTCTTCACTTAATAGTACCTGGGGACCGAGCTTTGCTCGGAGAAAATCATTAGTTCACTCTGAAAGCAGTCTTAGTATCGGAGATACATAAATCTGTTCCCAAACTCCACACGGCTCGCCTTTACAACGTCCTACACCATTTCCTACGTCATGGACCTGTTTTTCTCCCTTCCCATAGCATTTCAGAATTGCAGATACGTTAATCTAATCGTCATAAACAGTTCCCACGCTCCATACTAATCGCCTTGACTACTTCCTTCACCACTTCCTACGTCACGGACCTGTTTCCCTCCCTTCCCATAGCATTTTAGGATTGCCCATACCCTTATCTAATCGTCATAATAGTTCCAACACTCCGGACAGCTCGCCTTGACTACTTCCTTCACCACTTCCTACGTCGCGGACCTGTTTCCCACCCTTCCCATAGCATTTTAGGATTGCAGATACCCTAATCTTATCGTCATAAACAGTCCCCACACTCCGGACTGCTCGCATTTCCTACTTCCTTCATCACTTCCTACGTCACGGACCTGTTAGTTTCCCTCTATTCCCATAGCATTTTATGATTGCCTTTACTACTTCCTTCACTACTTCCTACGTCACGGACCTGTTTCCTTCCCTTCCCATAGCATTTTAGGATTGCAGATACCTTAATGTATTCGTCATAAACAGATCCTAGACTTCGCACTGCTACCCTTGACTACAATGTATCGAGTAATCTTAAGTATAATCTTTGCTCACTATTAACAAGTGATGTTTTTCCTTTTGTACTGTATTTGTAATTTGCTAGTATACTGTGGGTAGTTGGCTTATTATGAACACATGCTACAACTTCAAGTCTTTTGTTTACTTTTTCCTTGTTATTTAATTCAGCCAACATGGTTACCTAGCAACCCATAAGACTAATGTAAAAAAATGTGATTTTCAGTTTCATTTTTCTACGTAATTAGATTTTTGTTGGCAGTTCTAACTGCAGTAAACTAGTTTTTAGGCCAGAAATGAACTATTTACAACATTTTAAGAAAATCGTCGGAGCCGTTTTCGAGATCTTTGTGCAAGCAAGCAAGCATACAAGCAAACATTGCTCGTATTAGAGTATAGGATTTGTCATATTTTTATGCTGTAGGTAACATATTTAGCTTGTAAATATTTAATTCATTAGGGTCTTTCAGATGGTACCTCTATGTCATCAATTCAATCTTTGACTGTTGTATCCCATAGTCAATTATTAAATTTACTAAGGGTAGGGTACTAGGTACTATTCTGTTTTGCTACTGTACAATGATTTGAATGGAAAAAATTGTGTTTCGCTCCTACCTCCCCCTTTAAAGTCTTATAAATGTGGCAAAATAAGTTTTGAAGCATCCACTAGCACTATATGAGGTTTACCTGACTGCTGTCCACGGCATTGTGTGATGATTGAAGCCAGCACTAAGATTGCGAAGAATTGTGTTACACTACCCCCACTGAAACATGAAAGATTCACAAATCACATTTTTTTATCGACATGATTAGTATAGGAAACTAAACCCGGATCTGGGAAACTCAAAACGATTCTATGACAGCTTTCTTGAGAAACCTATGCTCAACATCAGCTAGTGTTATTGTTAACATCAGACTCTTATGTAATTTTTTTAAATACATCCTCTGAGCCTCTTCCACAGTGTTTAGGCTCCCATACACTTGGTATAAAAATAAGGTGAAGGTTTGATAAAGAAATGAACAACTGAGATCAGTGCTTCAAATGGTTTTAACTTAACTTTGGTTTATCACATGATGTCTTAATTAAATCCTTCTAGTACGTCCCTAAACATTGATATACGTTAACATCTCTACAGACCCTGAGTCGAGAGAAGCCCGAACAGTTGACTTTGATTCTGTATGTCCTATACAGTCAATTAATTCTCATGCCTTTGTTTATACAGCTTTTGATTGTACTAATTTGATGTTTTATAAGTTCTTTTTTTAGGAGAAAATATAACAAGAGGGGGATAGTTTCGTTAAATTGTTGTCTCCAAACACATTGGCCAACCAATATAGTGTTTCCAACATAAATAACTGTTTTTGTTAGCCTTTGTAGAGTGTAATTGCTGCAAAGTTTTTTTTTTTTTAATCAAGTTTCCCAAGCATTAGCGGTGAAATTTTCCCGTCCCATCACTTCTTGACCTCCACCGCTGTCCCAAAATCAGGTCGGATCGGAATGGCTTTTGTCCCAGTTTTCACAATTTCCACAGACCTAGGAAGGCCCCATATAAGCGCTTCTGTAACTGCTGTAGAAACTTTCTATTCATAGGAAGGAGGAATTATCTGTTAGGGTTAAGAAGATAGACTTTGTATCTGAAACTATTTTGTGTTGAATATAATTTAAAGTTGAAGGGACTATAAAATAGTTTATTATTTTACAATAATAATAGTTTCTCAGACAGTAAAGAGTGTTAATTTCGCTTTTGTTTTCCACATGACTGAACTTAACCTTTAGAATAGTTTAACCACCTTGGGGTAAGATAAACATTACAACACATTTACACATTAGTAGAAGTATTTGTACTAGCCACTTACAGGATGGGAAGGAAAACAAGAGTCTCCTAACATCATAAATAATATTATGCAAATATGCTTTAAGTGCTTGTAATAAATCAAGTCTTCTATTTAGGTCCTAGTGCATGTTAAATAAACGGTATCAGCATTCTGACACATACTTTCTCCTATAAGCTCGTCAACAACCTTTATCATGGGTAAGCGGTGAGAGTAAATATTACATTTTTAGTTCAAAATCACAAAAGTTGCAATAACTTTTGAACAGTAATTGTTACAGCAATGAGGTGTTGTACTCTTATTTTTAGAATTATAAGGACCATAACATATTAATTTTGATCAAAAACAGCCTTCCTCCAAAAATCCAATTTTTTTGTTATTTTATGGGAAAATAACATTTAAGTTAATAACTTTTTAACCGTAATTTTTACCGAAATGGGATTTGTATCATTATGTTCAGAATTTAAAGGACTATAACATACTAAATTTCTAAGAAAATCGATCAGGCCATTTTCGAGAAAATATGATTTTTCCGTTATTTTATGTGGTTTTAGGCCTATAGGAAAATCCCCATTAAAAATCAAAATTTCTAAGAAATGAAAAAACTTTCAAAATTGTAAGGATCATAACATACTAAAATACAGTAAATCAAAAGCGGATTTCTTCTAAAATCCTATTTTTTTTATTTTATGGGGTTTTTATGGGAAAATAACATAATTTACAATAACTTTTGAACCATAATTTTTGCAGAAATGGGATTTGTACCATTTTGTTCAGAATTGAAACGGCTACAACATATTAAATTTTTATCAAAATCGTTTTGGCCACTTTTGAGAAAATCCATTTTTTTTTGTTATTTTATGAGTTTTATGGGAAAATCAACATTAAAAATTAAAATTTCAAAATAAAAAAACAGCTGGAGATACCATTCAAAAACTACTTTTTGGGTCCAGGCCCAGGGGGAGCCGAAACGGTTATATCCACTCAAAACTCAAACTCAAAAATTTTAACAAAAACAATACTTTCTCCATATACTATGGGGGGAGAAAGTAAAATCATGAAATTTAAATTGTGTAAAATACCATATTATTATAGAGTAGTACAGTAATCTTAAATCTTGTTGCTTTAGGATTTAACCCCAAATATTATATAGCCTACCAAAATGTTTGTCTAGGTTTGTAGATTTGCAAACTGACCTTACATTGTTTTAAGTCCCTTTGGGCCACGGCCGCCTTTAACTCGAGGCCACGGCCTTGGAAGTGGCAACGTCGCAAAGGGTGTTGTAACAGCTGTTTTGTTTGGAAGCAGCTAATGGTATTTGTGTATTTACGAAAGATTGGTTACTGGACTATGACAATATTGACTCTGCTTAAAATGTACAGATATAGATTTGTAATTCATATTGTTTCCATTTTCGATTCTGTATGTTTTATTTTCAATATTTTAATAAATTTATGTTCATAAATTTTAATTTGAATCAATAAAGTGTGAATTAATGAGCTGATGTCACATGTCTGCCATGTTATCTTATGGGACGTCTGTCACTAAACAACACCACTTGCGACTATGCGACTAAGCCAATTCTACCAGGCCACAGCCTGTACTTAAAGGTGGCCGTGCTTGGGCTCTGCACCAGTGGCTTTTAAAGTTCCCATGTTATCCTTATGAAGAACATATTTGTTTTCATTATGATCTGCTGGACAATTTAATTGCTGTTAATATTTTAGTTTGAATTTAAGGAAACATTTATTGACTTGGTTGAAATGAAATATTTACTACTAGTTTACATGTTACTCGAATTCGAGCAATTGCAAAGTATTACAGGAGTTATTTCAGAAACGAATAACAGTCATATTTACAATGAGTTTAAAAGAGTCAACTTAAAGATTACCGGTGTGTAACTCAGTGATAAACCTAAAGCATTCCGGCCAGTTTTCTCCTTCTCAAAATGCCTCGCTGTACAGGCAACACAGGTCACTGATAGAGGGCCAATTGAGAACGAAAAGTCGTTTTGGGGTAGTGTTAGGGCGCATTTGTAACCTAATAGTTGAGATTGTCCAGGGTCAGGTGCTGACTGTGATGAGTTAAGCCTATTACGTGCCACTGTTCTGTAGCTGCGGTTGTTATCACGATTACGCCTCTTGTCTATGTTTTGTTGTCGTCGCGTCGGAGGCATTTAAAAGAAAAAAAAACAACAAATAAACAAATTATAGCTACACAAAACAACAATAAATGCATAAATTTCAGTTACAATCATGCTAACTCGATCTGTCTTAGCGACACAAAACAACGATAAATACATAAATTTAAGATACAACTATACTTGGGGGTTATGTTTACACAAACTCAAATAGTAAATAAATGTACTCAGTGCGTTTCATTGAATTTAAAAATAAATAACAGCAATTAAATTATACAGCTGATCAAAATCTAAACAATTATGTTCTCCGTAAGGATAACATGGGAACTTTAACAACCACTGGGGCAAAGCCCAAGGGACTTTTTCAAAAATGTAAGGCCAGTTTGCAAATCCACGCAACACGCTCTTTCCAATGAGACGTCAATGGATAAAATCGGTTAAGAAATGGCGGAGGAGTTCAACCGACAAAGTTTCATGTAGCGTATTAATTATATAGATTTGAATTTGGGTTTGCGTAAATATTACAATGGAAAAAAGTGAGAAAGCTTGGACAATTTTATATACTAAAAATAAAACTGAATTAACACTGTGCTGCATTTCTTGAGCAATCATTAAAAGAGCCGATTTGCAAACTATGGAAACATATGAAAGTCATAGAACACCATTAAGTAGAAGAAATACAGTGTGTAAATTAAGTATGGAAACAAATCTGTATTTTTAAAACCGAAATAGATAGAAATATTCTATTTGTGGCAATAATAGTTAACAAAGATTCCGCAATTCTTCACATGAAAAATATTTTTTTACCCCCCTAACAGGGTAGGTGGTAGGGGGTGACTTATTTTTTTCAAATAGCAACCCCTATTGAGTGACCCCTCATTTTGAAGGGTTTGTCAAAAGAAACACAATGACGCAAATCCGAGGTGAATATCTCACTCCTAGCCCAAATGGCGGATATTCCAAAATTTGATTTATTGTACGTGAAAAACACCAATTTCACAAATAATGGAAAGAAATCTGTATTTTTAAAACCGAAATAGATAGAAATATTCTGTTTGTGGAATTGATTGTTGACATAGGTTCCGCAATTTTTTTAATTAACAATATTTTTTCAACCCCTTTAACAGGGTAGGGGGTGGGAGTGACTTATTTTTTTCAACAACAACCCCTATTGAGTGACCCCTCATTTTGAAGGGTTTGTTAAAAGAAAAAGAATGACGCAAACCCGAGGTAGATATTTCACCCCTAGCCTAAATGGTGGGTAATGAAAAATTTAATTTTTGTAAAAAAAGCCCATTTTGGAATATCCGCCATGTTAGCTAGGAGTGAGATATTCACCTCGGATTTGCGTCATTGTGTTTCTTTTGACAAACCCTTCAAAATGAGGGGTCACTCAATAGGGGTTGCTATTTGAAAAAAATAAGTCACCCCCTACCACCTACCCTGTTAGGGGGGTAAAAAAATATTTTTCATGTGAAAAATTGCGGAATCTTTGTTAACTATTATTGCCACAAATAGAATATTTCTATCTATTTCGGTTTTAAAAATACAGATTTGTTTCCATACTTAATTTACACACGTATGTAGAAATAATGTTTTTTTTAGAATTTATAATCCTTAATATGGACAACCTAATGCGGCTATGAGTGGACATTTGTAGCATTTGTAGAAAATACTAAAAAACAAGATCAGCTTTTGAAAAATGATAAGATATTTACAAGAAATGTTTATTAACTATAATGTACATCGTGACTGAGTATTTCCATAATCTTTGAGTCGACTCTATTAAAG